AAGAGTCCTTGCCCCTAGCAAAGATTTACTGCAACGGCACTCCCTTGTCATAACCAAACTGTAGAGGCACTCGGCGAGGGTTATAAGTTTTCAATACTTGGCCACCCTTTCATAGGGCAGGCAAATAACTTAGGGCGGTGACTGGCAAAAACACTAGCACCTCGCTCGAGTTCAGTCAATGAGCCCTTATTGGAATGTGCTCATCATGATCAAAGAACATAGGCATAGTCAATGCCCTAGGCAGGTCCACAGCATAAGGGCGAGAGATAAATTGGAAGCTCTGGTCTAAGGCATACCCCAGTTATCCCCGAGGGGAACGCCCATGCCATCTCATACCTCGCACGACTTGCTTGTCAACAGCCAAGTCTGTAGGGTTTGGAACATAAGACTGGAATCTCTCATACAGTAACATCTATAAAAAGAGGGTAGATGCATAAGAGCCATGGGCGTAGCGACCAACAGAGCGCACCATGTCCTCCCCCACCATGTCAAGGCGATAGTATAATGTCCCCAAAAATAGAGGCGCGAGTGCTACTTTTACACCGCTTGCTAACTTCACCACGAGGTCCAAGAGGCGGGGTAAGGGTGCATCTTCAGGAGTACCCTCCAATACGTACCTCGAGAACCAACACAATAAGTAGGCCGTGAGACCAGAGGGGTGGTTAATCCAAGGACCAGGAATCCCCTTTATCCCTTCATCTGAGAGGTCTTTCCTCGACATAGGGAAATCTCTGAAGTAATATCGCACCAAAGCACCTAGAGTGGCCTTGTGCGTGCCTTTGCTTCGAAAGGGACGATGAATCCCTTGCTTGCCCCACAAAGATTTGAAGTCTTTAGTCTTATCCAAAGCTAGTTCGAGATCCTGGGCTAGAGTCTCCTCCTCTTGCGAGAATTCCCACGAACCAGGATTCTCCACACCCTAAACAGGTAATCCCAACAGCTAGCTTACATCTTCGATAGTGGGAGTAAACTCTCCCCACGCGGTGACAATGGTGTGTGAACTCGAACTCCACAGCGAGATTAATTCCCATAAACCCGCCACATCGCGAGGAATATGAAGTCGATGAAACAACTTTATACAAGGTAAGAGGCTCGTCTTGGTTAAAGTTGCCTCATATACTGAATTGGCAAGGATCGCGTCAGTCCACGCCTCCCAACCATGACAAAGGCTAATATGGTTCACGAAATTCACAAAGGACAGTGGGTATCGCCTTTGCTTGACACCAAATCTCAAAATGGTGCCTGCAGGAATACGTGAAGCCAAGTTAATCTCAACCTTTTCTTCCATTAATTCCACCACTTCTAGTGGCTCGCCGACAACCACAGCCTGGTTTGCCCGGTGCCAAAATAAGTTGTGTTTCCCAAAAAATGGGGCTCGCCGCCATTCTGAATCCGGCGGCACCTTAGGCAGAGGGTAGTCTTTTTTACTCAGTTCTTATTTCTTACTCACCATGGTAGTAATCCCAAAGTTTGAATCAACACAAGCAAAAAATCTCAAGTTTTGCAAACTCTCTTCTCCGGCGACAATGGAGGCAAGGATAAAAAAAAAAAAAATGGTAAGGGTAAATCCTCTCTCAAGTGCACCCTCACGCTATCACTTTCCCCCTTTTTAAACAGTTCCCTCACCTCAGGAACCCCTAAAATCGAAGCATCAATAGATAGCTCATTAATAACTAGAGGCGACCTTTCAATCTCGCGTCCACTAAATTTCCTCGAATGAATAAATGACCTAGCCATCTAGACTTGCACGTGCAACAATACATTTTTGAATCATCACAGGTGCAGGGAGACAAAATGTGGGTGTCACTTATTAAAAGCTGAAATGGAACGTTGACAAGTCAATACAACCCTAACTTAATCCCCCGTGGTGATTTGAAAAGTCAAAGCCTTGAGCCTCGAAGGACTAACCTTCGAGCATCTCTAAGTCCTGGCATCGCTCCAGGCCCATTAAGCCTCGGTGGATGAACTCTCGACCACTTTAAGCCTAGGCATCACTCTAGGCTCATTAAGCCTCGATAGATTAACTTTTGAGCACTTTAAGCTTTGGTATCGTTCCAGGCCCATTAAGCCTCGATGGATGAATGCTCGAACACCTTAAGCCTTGGCGTTGCTCTAGGCCCATTAAGCCTTGAAGGATGAACTCTCGAGCACCTTAAGCCCTCGCATCACTCCAGGCCCATTAAGCCTCGATGGATCAACTCTTAAGCACCTTAAGCCCAGGCATCGCTCCAGGCCCATTAAGCCTCGATGGATCAACTCTCGAGCACCTTGAGCCTTGGCATCGCTCCAGGCCCATTAAGCTTCGATGGATCAACTCTCGAGCACATTAAGCACTAGCATCTCTCTAGACCCATTAAGCCTCGATGGATCAACTCTCGAGCACCTTAAGCCCTGGCATTGCTCCAGGCCCATTAAGCCTCGATGGATTAACTATCGAGCACCTTAAGCCCTGGTATCGCTCCAGGCCCATTAAGCCTCGATGGATTAACTATCCAGCACCTTAAGCCCTGGCATCGCTCCAGGCTCATTAAGCCTCAATGAATCAACTCTCAAACACATTAAGCCCTGGCATCGCTTTAGGCTCCTCAAGCCTCGAGTGACCAACTCTCGAGCACTTTAAGCCCTGGTATCACTCCAGGCCCATTAAGCCTCGATGGATCAACTCGAGCACACTAAGTCCTAGCATCGCTCCAAGCCCCTCAAGCTTTGAGTGACTAACTCTTGAGCACCTAAAGCCCTAGCGTCGCTCTAGGCCCATGCAAGCCTCGAGGATCTAACCCTCGAGCACTACAAACCTTGGTATTAGCCCAAGCAATGCCACTTTGGAAGATCAGAGCCCTGAAAGACTCGTTATTAAAATTCACATATGGCACGAAACGAAGGTAAGGTTTTTGCGACTGTAAAGAGTTTAAGATTGGGAAACTTAGGAGGATATTGGATTGGTGGATGAGAAGTTAAGAAGGCCCAATTAACAAGATGATGGGATTATGCAAATTATGACAGCAAACCTTAAAATCACATTTAATGTTGTGTTAGACTTGACCAACCGACGGCCAAGCAGCATTTAATACCCTTGATTAAGGGAGAAATGACATGGCAACAAAGTGCAAGGGTTGATGAGAGGATTAGACCCTTCAGGCTCCTAAATCCCCAAGATTACCTACGTAATCCTGACTAGGAATAATGCATGAGAGAAACCATGCATGAAGGAGACCATTGGATAATAACCAATGTAATTAGAGCCTATAAATAGTAATGTCCTATGAAGAAATAACCAGAAGACGAAGTTGTCATAAGATACTGTATACTTGCCCTACTACTATCTTAGTCTTGATAATTAGTCTTCTTTTCCTCGTCTTACTCTAAGCATCTCCCCTGTTTCTTTCATATTTGTATTTTTGATATCACCATTACATTGTTGTTTATTCTTTGATAAAAAATAAAAAAAAGAACCCCTACAATGTGCTATGTCATGTGATTCATCATCTATGTGAATTAGTTTTATAAAGCTCTTTGTTGTTTATCTACCTTCATCCCAATTGTATAGTATTAAATTAATGTTCAGAAAAACATTAGTATTATTATTGTTATTTTTCTATTTCACCAATTTTCTTGACTTCTAGACAATTGATAACCAGTTAAACTTTAAAGATTAGGGATTTTTTTATTTTTTATTTTTTATTTTTTTTTTAGGGTGAAGTTCATCAACACACATTAAATATCTTATTCATCCATCCAACTTATTTATATTTTAAACCAAAGGAATTTTTGCTTTATATGAGAATAATTTGTGTATTTGTTGTCTTAGTATTTTTCATCTGTCCTTCCATAAAGTAATGCTTCTTTAAAATCTGCCCCATGTTTTTTCTTGAAAGGTAAATTAAAATATATTAAAAGAAAACCAAGGCAGGCCAGCGCTAGCAACGGCTAACCCTATGCAGTGAGCCCAAAGGCAAACAGAGCCAAAGAGGCCCAAGGTAACAAGCAATCAAAATTGTTTGTAAAGTTCGATAGAGACTTCTTTTGGAAAATTCCGCAATTGCGTTCATTCCAGACATTATAAACTAGGGCTGCAAGACTCATCTTGGATGGAATGTCCCCCAAGTTGTTACTTCCAAAACAATATAATTTTGTTTGGAATGTCAATAACCACTTCTTTGGTCTTTTAATTTTTTTTACATGAAATACTAATTCACTAAGTAATTGAGGCAAGTGTCTTCTAAATTTTTTTTTTTTGGAAGTTAAAGCTAACTGATGGCTGATGAGTGACAGAGGGGGATTCGAAAAATGTTATTTAACAAAAATTGTTAGTTTGTGTTACAAGTGATTTTAGGAGGATAAAGATTAGTTATTATGTTAATTGGAACTATATAATAATGGTACTCATTTTTGATTTGGGGGCAATAATAACAAGAGGTTTGTATAAAATACAGGGCTAATTTCATTATTTTACATTTTAAAGGATAATACTGAGTAACTACCCCTTAATAGTTATGGGGAGTCGAGCCAATTTTAAGAGAGGTTTGACTGCAAAGTTCAATCTATGAAAATTTAAATAGATTTTTATTTTGCAAAATTTTAAATAACAAAAGAGGCTTTGGTGAAGAATTATGAGATGGAAAATAAACGGATAGGAAGACACGAAGTAAAAAACAAAACTAGTTGGGATATAGAAATATGAATATGGAAAGTTACTCTAAATGGACGAAAAAACAAAATTAAAAAATTATTCACTTTCCATAAAGTGATCTCCTCAGTAGCTTCCTGAACCTTTACTAAATTCCAATTTTCGAAAGGATTATTCACTTGACTTTCCTTGCTTGTAAAACAAGAAACCCTGGCCGCCTCTATATAAATACACACCGCACTGTGTATTAACTATTTAGTCCATAAATCCACACAGACACAGACACAGACACACGCTACATCGTCTTTTCGGTTCCTATTATACACACACAATCTTGATTCTTCGATCAATTGCTCAATCGCATAACACAGACATGGCCTACCGTACTTTAGACATCACAATTATATCCGCCGAAGGACTCGATGATGTGAATCTTGTGACCAAGATGGACGTCTACGTGGTGGCGTCGATCTCCGGCGTCCGGAAACTGACCCGCGCCGACAAGCACGGCGGAACAAAACCCAAGTGGAACCACCACATGAACTACTTCGTCGCCGAATCAGCCTTGCAAAAGCCCGACCTCTGCCTAACCTTCACACTCCGGTCAGATCGCGTCCTCGGCGATAAAGACATCGGCTACGTCTACGTCCCGCTGCCAGACCTCCTCGCCGGTAACACCACCTCCGAACGCGTCGTCGAGTATCCAGTCCAGAAACCCCCCGAAGAGCCTAAAGGTACATTGAAATTCTCGTACAAGTACGATGGGAAGTTTACTCCGCCGCATACGGCTGCGCCGGCGAAAGCTCATGAGCCTGTGACGGCGTATCCAGCGTCTGTTGATTCAAGTAAGGCCGGTGCGGCGGCGCAGGCGAAGGTTCAGGAGCCCGTGACGGTGCATCCACCAAATATCAGTGTGAGCACCACGGTCGCGCAGCCTGCTAGGGTGGCGATGGCGTATCCACGGCCACCTTATACTTATCCGCCGCAGCAAGCAGCGGGGGGTTTCGGATATCCACCACTGCCGCAGGAGTATCCGGTGCCGGCGATGGCGGTATATGGGTATCCACAACCACAAGTGCAGAAACCTAAGAAAAAAAAAGGATAAGTTTGGGACGGGATTTGGAGCTGGTTTGATCGGAGGGTTGATTGTCGGAGATATGGTGTCAGATATCGGTGATGCTGGGTATGAAGATGGCTTTGATGAGTTGATTTTGATATGTAAATCTGTTTTGATCTTTTATTTGTAGATAATTTGATGTTGTGAATTGGTTTTTAGGTTTGATATAGAAGATGAATTTTTGTGATTTAGTTAATTTTTCGAATTTTATAAGTACCTTTTTGGCATTATTTTGTGCTAAAACAAAAAAAAAAAAAAAACACTAATCACTTTATCTAGTTACATCCATTTGTTGTTTATTTTCATCTACTTTCATCATAATGAGTTCTCTATCAAATTGTATAGTATTGTGAATTTTGGAAATGCAATTTTTTTATTTTTTTTTTAATTTCACCTATTTACTTGAATTCAAATTGAAATATAAGATTTAAGATTTGGTGGAATCATTCCCACACTAATTTTTTTTTTTTTTTTTTGTCATCCATCATCCAAGTTATTTATAATTTAAACTTAAGTCACACGATACTTCTTAAATTTTCACTATTTATGACTTAATTTGCTCCCAACTCAGATTTAAACTAATAGAAAATTTTGCTTGGGGAACAGTTTTGTGTTCTTTTTATCTATTTTTTTTTCATCTCTTTCCATAAAACAATGCTTCTTTAAATTTAGTCCTAACATTTCTAAAACAATAAAATTTTGTTTGGAAGGTCTGAAGGCACTTCTTTGTAGTTCCAAATTTGAAGTCTTTTTGTCAGTCAACAATGCACCAGATGAATTATATTGAGTGTATTGAGTGTGAGTTCAAATTTTTTCTATTGTGCAAGTTTACAATTTAAATCTCATTTGTGTCGTGTGAGACTGGTACGGGTGAGAAATCCTCCAATTAGAAGGACATTTTTTTTTAAGATAGGTTTGCTGCAGTATTTAATTGTGAAATTGGTTCAATAACAAAAATTATTTTTTGGTTTGTAACAAGTAATTTTAGGAAGATGAACATTGCAAATCTTGTTCATTGACCTGTATCACTAATACGGCAACGTGGTGCAACAGTCAGTCTCATAATGCACGAGTACATTATTAACAATCGGGTAATATTTAAATTGGCCCTTGTAAAAAAAATTTGATTAAACAAGACCTTGAAAATGAATTAGAAATTTTATGTGGTTCACCTAATACAAGTTGATTTAAGGGTACGCAAGTGAAGCTTCACGAGAGACGGGCTGCTGATTCTTTTTAGGATAAATTGTAACATCATAAAATAATGATGTAATGTAATTATAGATAATTATTACATAAGTAATATGAAATCGTGATATTTGGCACAAATCATGTGGAATTGTGATTTATGTGACAACAGGTCATAGTTATAGACTTACAGTTAGCATGTGGTTTATAATTTAGTGAATTTGGTGACGTTAGTAAATTGAAACAGAGTATTGCACATTTATCATTTATCAGTTCACATTCTGAAAACACTTAGATCAACATGTATTTTTTGATCTATTAACTGCTTTTCTTTTGTTTGCCTAACAGTGGCATGTCTTTGCATGGTCTTTGGCTATGTCCCAAGTAAATATGTAATCTATCTGTCTTTTATTTACCTACTTATTTATCATAAACAAAAAAATTATAACTTACAGCCTCAGTGAAGAATTACGGAAATGCGCTTAGTGACCAATTGATCTTATGCAGAATAAAGTGATGGTCAACTCATTTTTTATTTTATTTTATTTTATTTTAGTTGACACACACATGCATTTACTGAGTTTCGAACTCCTACCATTTCTTTAAAAAGTAGGGAGAGGTCTAGTATCACTAGAGCACTGACATGTTAATAAGTGATGGTTAACTTTAATTTACTTATTTTTTTCATGAAACACTGCATTAGAGGCAATGTTGATGGCCGCTCAATTATTACAAAATAACAAAAGAAGAGTTTAAATTGTTGGATATAATTCTTTGAAAAAATGTTATAGTCATGTCAACTTAATAGACGTATGAATGAACCATTACCACTATTGTTTGCTTCTTCTTTTTTGGTATAATTAGGTTACCTTCTTTTTTGGTAACAAGCAATCAAAATTGTTTGTACAGTTCGATAGAGACTTCTTTTGGAAAATTCAGCAATTGCGTTCATTCCAGACATTATAAATGTTGGGATTTATATGCCCTGGCATAACAAATTCCTATCTGGATTATAGTGACATATGTTCCTGACATATCTGAAATATTTATGATTTATATAATTGGTGAATTCAATGTATTATGTTTCGATTTACTATGAAATTGATAGTGTCCATGTAATTACAAGAAATATTTATATATATGTATGTGATGGCAATCAATGCATGATATATAAATAGTAATTATAAATTGTTCATAGTCGGTAATTATGGATGGACTCATAATTAATTAAGACTTGAACTGGATCCGCGTTAAGTTGAGATATTTTGCGAGAGCCGTCGAATACAATTACTCCCTATCACAGTCATGACATTTGACTCTTAAGCATGAGAAAAGTATAGACTCTTTTATTAATTAATAATTACTTTGATTTGTTCGGCGGATTCTTCGGGATCCTTAGACCGACACTTTTGGTAGTTATGTAATTAATAGTTAGAGGGTTATATTTTCAATATTTGCATCATTGTTACTTGTATTTATTTTGTATTAATTATGGTTAATCACAAAGTAAATTCGAAGGCCTTCGTGTATTTTTAGACAAAATGATTTTTTATATATTTATTTATTTAAATTATTATTTTTGTCAAATAAATGTTTTATTGTGATCGAGCCAGAAATAATCAGAGGTACCAAAATAGATATATTAATTAAGTAGTCGGATTGATGGCTTTATTTATCCGATAACTAATTATGCATAGAGGGGTCAAAGTGCAATATTGACTTAGAGGTTATTTATTATTTAATTGGAGTTCAATTAATTTCTTTTAGCGGAGTAGAAATTAATTTATGAATTAATTGAATTGGGTCCATGGACCGGGCCAATTATTAATTCATTGTAGCCAATAAAATAATAGGCCCAATGGATTCTCACTCATAGCCCAACTTGATATTGGAATCATATTAGATTTGAGACATATGAATTAGAGATGGAGAAGGATTTGTTGTTTCCCTTTCTTTATTTTTATGTTGCCTATAAATATACATGGTCTATGTATATTTTAGGGGGTGATTTTTAATGAGAAGGAAAAAGGAATTTATTTTCTCTCTCTAGAAAATTAGGGTTTATGTTCTCGTCTAATGGAGGCTCCCACAAGCCTAGTTTTCCAAGGTCATTCATAGAGGCTTATGAGTAATTCCTAAAGGCAAAACAATTACCAAGAAGATGGAGATCTAAGAAGAAGGCATCTTGCTAAGGGATCTACAATAAGTGAGAACATTCACTTTAGAGGAAAGTTTTAAAGGTTTACTCAGACCTTTGATGTAAGTATTCAATCTGTTAATTGAATGATACATCATATTTTTATTTTTGCGTAAAACTTGTCTCTATGTGATGAATCAAGATTTATGAATCAAAATCCCTCGAAAAGTTTTTAAAACTTGCACGTTTCCCAACAGTGGTATCAGAGCATGGTTTGATTCATTACTAGAGATCATATTTTTATCAAAATTCATCATTCATGGATCCAATTTTGATATGCATATATATTTATTTATTGATGTATGATTTAATATGTTGATATATATTGATACATGATGATGTATGAATAATTGTGAATGAATGATGATGTATGGTTGGGCCATGGATGAAGCTTATAGGTTAAATTAATGTAATTTTATCTTTGGATGAATGTAATTAAGGCTTTGATTTAGCCGTTTGAAAGTTCAATGATGTAATTTATTTTTCCCATTGTATTTCAAGTTGTAAATATTTTTAAACCCATGGAATATTCATCAAAGGATGGTATGAAGCTTCAAGAAGGTCCAAAAGGGTTAAATTATGCTTCAGTAATTTTCTGGAATTTTTTCGAATTTTTTGGAATTTTTCTGAAATTTTTTGAGGCTTAATTTAATTTTCTGGGAATTTTTCTGATTTTTCTGAAATTTTTCGGCGTTTTTCAGGTGGCCGGAGCATCGCCGGCGGCGAGAAGAGGCGTCGGAGGAGGCTGGAATCAGATATGGTGCATAGAGGGTGAGCCTGGCGCGTGAGGAACACGCGCCAGGAGGTGACATATGCTGGCACGTGCATTGCACGCGCCAGCCAAGGTTATATGACCTCCACGCGCGTGAAGGCGCGTGGAGGCGCGTCCCACGCGCCCCACGCGCGTGCCAGCACGTGAGGGCGCGTCCCATGCGCTCCAAGCGCATGCTAGCGCGTGGGGCGCGTGTCTTCACCTGCAGCATGCCCCAAGCGCGTGTGAGCGCATGTGGGGCCCTCTAGGCGCGTTCCAATCGGTGTTTTGCTTCTCCCGGTGCGTTCCAGCCTTATGTGGGTGTTTGCAAGCCGATGGATGATCTTCCCGCAATACTTAGAGTAGTTAAATGTTAAAAGCTGATTCCATTGACCATTTTATTTGCTTTATCTGTCATTTATTTATTTATGCGATGTATGAAATGCATGGAATATATAATTGTTAATTAATTGTTATTCATGCATTAGATCCATGATATTTATTTAAATGACTTGATTTATATTAATTAAGTTATGAACATTAATTGGATCTGATTACTAATTAATTTGAGGGCACTTATTGGGAAACGCAAAATTATTTTTTGTAAATTATTTTTAAAGTGTGCTTCAAATTTAATATTAGTGAATCGTTTAAAGTCCAAATATTTTCTAAATTTAATTGGATTAAAATCAAGACGTTTTGCATGCATTATATCATGTAAATGAATAAAATGAAAACCCTAATTATGGATGATTAAAAATTGAGTGGGAGCGGGAATTTTTATACATTGTTCCATGGCCTTCGTTATTAATACCATTGTAATTAGGTTTTCAAAAATAAGGCCCCACGCAT